TATTTTAAATGATTTTGCACCATGTGTGCAGCCCACAAGTGCATGGGAAAGCTCCCTACTGCATCTGATCAGCTGATCTCCTTCTCTGCCATGCACACATTTCTGCTGCATCAGCTTTGTGAAGGGTTAACCCTTTGCTGTTCAGATGCACCGATCGACTTGTGTCTTACAACTTAAAATTTAAAGCATGTCTCATCGTAAAATCATTATAATCACAAAATATAAAAATATTAAGTTATTTTAAATTATTTTAGAACTTCTATGTTCATTTGTTGAAGTGTAATTGATCAATAAGTACAATTCTGCTCCGTGTTGCTGCTGCATTCTCTACAATTTAAATTTAAATACTGTAATTTTTTTAATAAACAATCCATGCTGTATAGATTGTTTATTTATAATGTTACAGTATTTAAATTTAAACTGTTTATTTAAGGAAGGAGATGGGGTGTAACAGGTGATGAGTGTGATTGCAGCCTGGCACGTCATGACAAAGTTTACTGAACCTGAACTTGAACTTGGACTACTGTATCCCTACTTCGTGGTTTTTCCACTTATCGCTGGTGGACATGGTCCCTAACACCTGCAATAAAGGAGGGACCACTGTATATAAATAATATAAACCAGCCACCCCAATCATTTGAGGAAACTTTGCTTTCATACACACACACACACGCACACACGCACGCACGCATGCACGCATGCACGCACACACACACACACATGAATATATGACAACAACAACAAAAAACTTATATCTCTTCCATTTGGGTGGTTCCACTTTACTTCAAACTCTGGTCCTCTACCGGAGGCCTGGGAGCTTGAGGGTTCTGCGTAATATCTTAGCTCTTCCTAGGACTGTAATCTTCTGGACTGTGATCTCTGAGGATGTTCCTGGGATCCGTTGGAGCCACTCCTCCAGTTTGGGGGTCACAGCACTGAGTCCTCCAATGACCACTGGGACCATTGACACTTTGACTCTCCACATCTTCTGTATTTCCTCTTTCAGTCCTTGGTATTTCTCAAGCTTCTTGTGCTCCTTCTTCCTGATGTTACAGTTGGGATTGTTACATATATCACCACTGTCTTCTTCTCAATCTCGTGCTTGTCAGCCACCACAATGTCTGGTTGTTTAACCATCACCTGTTTGTGGGTCTGGATCTGGAAGTCCCACAGGATCTTAGCCCGTCTTAGCCCTGAGGCAGTTGTTTTAGGTTTTGACGTGGCAACTCCGTTATCGTTGGTGACCCTTGATGCAGACACACACAAAATACTGAAGTACCGGTACCGCACTTATTATTTTAGTTATTTAGCTCACAAGATTGACAGACAGATGGAAGAAGGGCATTTCCAATTCCCCTCTTCACTCTGAATATGGGGACAACAAATGGGTCACCTTGATTTATTTTTTAAGTTAAAATCAATATGGATCATCCTTGGACCTTGAGGTGTCCAGCTGAGCAGAGTGACATTTTTATGTTTAAGGGTTATCAATTTACATCCATCCATCCATCCATCCATCCATCCATCCATCATCTTTTACCCGCTTCTTCCTTTTCGGGTTGCGGGGGTCACTGGTGCCCACATCCAGCAGTCCCTGTATGAGAGGTGGGGTACACTCTGGACAGGTCTCCAGTCCATCACAGGGCCACATAGAGACAAACAACCATTCTCACTTTAGACAAAAAACTGTATACAGACAGAGAAAGTCTGAAGGACGGCGCCACAACAACACGTCCAGTCTTAGGACAGTGATATCAAAAAAAGAGAAGAGCCCATTTGTTAAATATTTTGTGCAAAGTGAAATTCATCACTCACACTGAGCCTCATCACCAGATTAATAACACTACATTTTAAAAGTTCTTTTAAGAGCCTTTCTTCAGCTGCATTGTTTGGTGTTTCTACAAAGAATGATTTCATTAGTCATAGAGCCATACCTCACAGTGGCAATATGTGGGAGGTTTGTGTGGGATTTGTGTGAATAAAGAAACAGAAAGTGGGGGATAAAGAGCTTGTGTGGGTGGTGGAGAAGCAGGGTTACGAACCTTGTAAGTGTCTCTTCTCTAATCTGGATCACAGCAGCCAACAAATGCTCTTTTGGATCGGACCCAGACATTATAATGAAGTCTGTGTGTGTTTGTGTGTGCACAGCAAGACCTGCATACACAAGTGCGTAACCAGCAGATTGTGTGTGTGTGTGTATGTGTGTGCATCTGATTCAGAAATGAGAGTTGGATATTTTTCAGGCTGTCAAACTGATTAACAGGCACTGTAGTATCCGAGCGTTTTCAAGAGGAGACCCTGAGGTGATGAAGAGCCCGTGGCTAAAAGAGATGGAAAACATCTCTCAACTTCTGTCAGAAAAGCTGAAGTGTTTCAAAAGATAAATAATTGTATGAGTCTAAATAACTTCATCACTACGAGAGACTAAAACATAACCGATGATGCTAATAGGAGAGTTAATTAAATACTCGTGCTACGCTCCTAATAGATTCATTAGGAAATAGTTCTACTTTGCATCAGTGTCCTTGTCTTGACATACTGTAACACATTTGTTTGAAATCTTTCCCCAGAAAGGTTAAAACTGTGAGCAATTTCTAATGAATATGTTTTAAATAAAATGCAAATGAACAGAAGGAGAAATTTAACACTAACATTGTCTTATTATGAAAGTATGAGAAATAGAAAGTAGAAAATGTTCTGACTCAGAAAAGTGGCAAGGTATTGTGTAAGCAGAATAAATAAATAAATCTAAAATTAATTCATACATCAGGGTTTCTTGAAGATTCTCCAGGCAAAAAAAGCAAAACTAGCATTTTAAATAATGTAACCTTGCTATGTGATGGACCTGTGACCTGTTCAGGCAAAGCAGAAGCAGGTAAATAAAATGGATGGACAGATTACCACACACAGTACTACATTTTTTTTTATATTTTAAAGCTGGTAGCATTTCTGAGAACTGTTTGTATTTTATTTTATTTTTTGCATTGGTGCTGTGATGCTCTGGTGGCAGCGTTATGATGCTGGCTGCTTTGCAAGGGTGCCTTATGAAAAAGGAACAATGAAAGAAAGGCAAATTTGAGTGAAATCATTTGAATTTTTGTCCCAAATTTGAAATTTGCTCTCACAGATGTATTTACACTTAGTTTTATCTTGTTAAACACTAAAGGTTCCTTAAGGGAGGGGGACGCGGGACACACCAAACATTTACCATACCATTTTATTTATAGAGCACTTAAAACAGCAACAAGGCCAACCAAATGCTGTACAGACAGAACAACAGGTAACACACAAAGCAAAGCATTTAGCAAGTTTAAGTACCCAAAAGACTTGATTAGCAATCCGTTTGGTTTTACTAACATCTTCTACACTTTAACACCACAACAGTTTTCAGTGAAAGTTGCTTAAAGGCCAAAACTATTTTAAAATAATTTTTTAAGTTAAAGTGTCATGTTTTTTTTGGAATTTGTTCAACACTGATGTACTTTTTTTTGCTTTTAAATTTTAGGTTGTGAATTTACCTGCAAGTCACTGCATACCACTGTTAAATACTAAGAAACTGTTAAGTGGTTGTCTACACAGCTGCTGCAGAACCTTAGAAACTCATAATACTGAGCATAAAAAATATGTTCAAAATTTCTCCTATAAAACCAAGGTTTTATTCTCTGCTGTCCTAAAACCTTGAACAGCATTCTGTTTTTTACTCCTCCTGCGAACCCATGTCTTGCTCACAGACTTGCCTATTCTGGTAAATTGTGACATTTAGCCTGAAAACCTCTGAGACCTATGAGGATTATTCAAGGTTAGTGGGAATACAAAAAAAAAAATCTTATATGAGTCATAAGAGGAGGGATAACATCTGCAGAAGCGGCTGCAGATTTAATTCAAGAGATTACATTTTCAGCTTTAAATAGGGACATTAAAAGATCTATATATTTTTGGACCCTCACACTGTGCAGCAGGAAATCATCATTACCTCCAACTGTACAGCAAAAATAATAAATACTGTAAACTCCTCATTCTGCAAAACATAATCTTTGACGGCAGCAGCTCTTGTTGACATTATCACCATCTCGGTTCATTTTAATTAAGGAGAGACAACAGAGACATATACAGTGGGTAGCATGTAAACTGTAAATATAGTTTAGCAGTAATGACAGTGGTTTCTGCAAACTGGAACGTATGGAAAATTTGTTTTTACAAAATGTGTTGGGGGGGGTGAAAATCTGTGTTTTGTTTTATCAGATGTTCTTTGAGTGACACTTTCTGAATGTTTTAACAAAGAGCTTCCACACACGTTAGACCACTCTGAGGAAAAGTGAACAAATCCCATGAAAACCAGAGTAGATGAGACGTTATCAGCCATTAAATGGCTGTTATTAATTGTTATCATCCCCATAGTAAGTTTAAAGGTATGTTGTTTTCGCTGATAATACGGTCAGGGGGTTACATTTAGGGTCAGTGCTCTGGGTCAGGTGTAAGGTTATGTTTAGGAAAAGGGTTAAATAAAGCTAACAAATAAAACTTGCGGTTTTACACGTGGGCAAAGCTGCATATTGTCAGCAATAAGAAAGTACCGTTAAACCTACTAGCAGGTAGGAGGGACAGTCTGAACACAACCTATGGGGATGATAACGACTAATAACAGCCATTTAATGGGCTGATAACGTTCAAAGCCGCTGATAAAACTCCTTAGTGAGGCGTTATAATTCTGATAACAGCAAGTATGTAATCTATAAAAGAAACCTGCATATTTGAAGGATCACATTTCTTCTTTTCTTAACTTGACTGTGTTGTTTGCGACTATGTCTAACATAAACCATATTTTTCAGCATACACCTGTGGTCCACTAACCTCATATTTGTAGATTTAAATATAAGTTTCAACTGCAACCATAGCATGCAAGTGATTCAAATTCCACATGCATGTTTAATGCAATCATTACTGAAATGGATAAAAAACATAGCTGAAGTCATAACTGCATAAGTGGAACCTCGACTCACCACCCAGTGTTGAACTCCACATGTGCGTCGAACAGAGCAACCACCGGAGCGGACGCCGCCCTCCATCCACTGACTCTGGACCTGATCAGTCCTTCCTGCTTGTCATGGCGGACCACCTTGATGAAGCTGGGGCCGTGCTGAGCATTAGTCTCATCCACAAAACTCTGCAGGTGCTCCTTTAACTCCGCTGGAATTAGAAGATACACACACAGGACTAGAAGTTAAACTAAGTAAGGCTTGCTCAATTCAATACAGTTTATTTATATAGTACCAAATCACGACAGAAGTTATGTCAGGGCACCAAACAGAAACAGTCACACACATGATAAACGCCAAAAATATGCTTTTATGTAGCCTCAGCTGACCCCAATTTGTTTTAATTACACCCTGGAAATCAATAGGATGCATTTATCCTCCATCATTCACCTTCGGTATGAAAAACCTCCACATAATTATAATTAATTGTAAAGAAAGAGCATTAAATCATATTTCCGAGAGATATATTAGGTTGAACATTTGTAATGCATTAATAGAGAATAAAGTGAGAAAATGATGAATGTATTTATCCCCCTGGTTGCTTCACTAATCAGCATTCAGCTGTGTGCAGCTACCATAACTAAACTTTGATATATTGTATTATTGAAGAACAGAGGGGCACTGAGAGACCCATAAAATCTGCAGGGGATGGGAGCACAGACATATTTCTCATAATAGTAATTATAGATTTGGCAGCTATGAAATACAATATGTTTCATAAAACGTGATACAATTAATAACACTGGCCCCAATAGAGACAAGTCTCATCCAGGCCCGAACTGCAGCCGCTTTTGTAAGTTTTGTAATGATTTTTATATTTATCAATGAATCAGCTAATGGTTACACATGTCCAAGTTTTGATCAAAGTAAAATAAAGAATAACAGGTACATGAAATATTGAGAGTCGATGCTGTTCACCTGAAGAAGCCGGCCTCTAATTGGATTTATTGAACTCTGGATCTGTTCTCTGTAATGTAACAGTAGACTTTTAATTTAGCAAAGCTCAATTCATTCACCTCTTCATTTCACAGGGTTTTTTTGGGGGCAGCAATGAAAATAGTAAACTACTGGGTAGTCTTACACAAAAAGAAGGAATTATGTGGGCCATCTCAAAAAATATATATTTTAATAAATTGTAAGTTTATACACCCATTCACTTTGTTTGTTTCTTGTTCAGGGTCACAGTGAGCCGGTGTCTATCTTCAGCAGTCAATGGGAGAAAGGTGAAGAACCCCCTAGACAGGTCACCAGTCCATCACCAGATCAGACAGAGATGAATGAGACGTCTGTGCATTTTCACACTCACACCTAGAGACAATTTAGAGTTGACAGTTATCCTAACATGCACGTCTTGGGGCTGTGGGAGAAAACAGGAGTACTTTGAGGAAACCCATGAATGCACAGGAAGAACTCCACGTAGAAAAAGCTCCAGCTGGAAGTCAAATTTGTGACACAAGACAGCAGTGCTTCAGTTTGCTTTTAGGAAATTTTAATTATTACAACTTTAAAAATATATATATTTTGAGACTAATTTTGTTTTGTAAATACTGTTGACTAAAACCAATCTCACAGAGACCATCCATCCATCCATCCATCCATCCATCCATCCATCCATCCATCCATCCATCCATCATAGATCTTGATTCATTTCGCAATAATAAAACTTTTGCACCTTTGGTTTGTGTTTATGTCGTTTAGCACTAATGTAACATCACATCTGCTGGCAGCTTGCTCAAAAAAAGAAGGTGGAGTTATGATATGATGCCAAGGATTCAATGTTCACACATCGAAACAGAAAGTAGAAGTAAGATCTTTGAAATAAATAATATGTGACTAAAAACATGTCTTCCTAACTAAACCCACTACCCTGAACCATAAATGAAGCAGAAACAGTGAGATATGAAAGATGTCATGCCTTCTTAGGTAGAAATGCGCTAAGATGAGAGATGCACTGTACCGTCTGGGAGGCAACTGAGTGAATGAAATGCAGCCTAATAAAAAATGTAAGTATATTTCACTCAAGTGGTACACTTAAAATGTGTTTTGACACATCATGAGTTTTTAATTGTAACATGTCTACTTTCCTACTCAGCCAACACTGATATAATTCCACACAGGCACTTGTACTGACTGTTTAGTTAACAGTGAATAAAAGAGCATCTGAGGAAAAATCGTTGTCTAATACAGTACACATCCTTTTAATATTGTATTTATTTATATTTTGTCTTTCCTCCAATAGAAAGTACACCTGGACCTGCCATTCTATGTTTGTCTCTCCTTCCTGTTCTCTCAAACCCAAGCCGCTCGTCCTGTGCCTGGTTCTGCTGGAGGTTTCTTCCTGTTCAAAGGCAGTTTTTCCTTTCCACTGTTGCCTTTGTGCTTGCTCAGGATGGGAGACTGCAACAAAGTGAAGGTTCAACACGATCTGTTGACTTCCTTAGATAGATAAATTAATCTAATTGGCTTTTTTTATGTATGAATGTTTTTGTACAGCGTCCTGAGATGATTTCTGTTGTGACTTGGCGCTATAGAAATAAACTGAACTGAAATATATATTATATAGTTTTAAATTTGACAGCTGCATGTACATCTTTTTCCCAAGACAAGTGGGTCTAAATCCATCTTCTCTCCTCCTCATTTCTACTTGCATGCCATGCTGAGATCAAGCAGGCCACACAGTCTGAGGTGAGGACACACTGCTGTGATTATTCGCCTCTTCTGCCAGTTATCCCAGGGGAAATCTGAGCCTGCAGAGTTATTACAGTACTAGAGGGAAGAATAACGTCCTCCACATTCTGCTGGTCCCACATGTGAACAGGTTGGGTATAAAACAATGCAAGACATCTTTTAAAGGGTCTCATATTATTAGAAATAGTAGAAAATATTTTTTACTAAACCTGTAAATAATTTGCTTTTAGGAAAACAGAATTGCCCCCATGAGAGCAGCACAGATAGAAAATGTCTTATCTAACATGGCTCAGAGGAAATAAAGAAAATGTTAAACTTGAGATTGTGATTTCAGAATCAGAATAAGCTTTATTATCATCGCACCGAGATACAACGAGAACATGTACATGCAGTCGTCCGGAAGATGGACGGAGTGCACGAAGCTGCTACTGTAAGCGCGGCCTCTCTTATCCTTTTTCAGAATAATATAATAGATTTAATTTTCTTACAGCTGTTGCTGTGGTCGTCCACCAGTATGATCTCTTTGAGGAGGTGGGCTGGAGTCCTTTGGATGACTGTGTGGATGGAGCGCAGCAACACTGACAGGGCCTCGTTGACAAAGATGAAGATTACGCTGAGCTGCGGAAGGTCTGATGAGTAAGACATGTTTTTACATCTGAACGGAAAGAAGAAGAAATATATATTTATATATTTTTAATTGTCTGAATCACATCCAAATGAAAATCCCCCCAAAATGCACAAAATCAACGACTGACTGACCCATCTGGTCGTAAATCTGGGATGGGCCTGGTGAGGGATATCCGGTCACTCAAGTAGCCATTGTATCCATAGTAGTGAAACTTCTTAAGGGCAACTCTTCTGCTCTCTGGACCGAGGTCATGACCCCAGTGGTTGAACAGCGAGGAGGCGGAGTCTGAGGCGGAGTCTGACGCTGCATCATCACCGTCCTTCTGAGGAGCATCTGTGGACAGAGAATAGAAGTTGTTGAGCATTTTGAGCAAAAATATGTCGTTTAAGTAAACTTTTGAGTTTTTATCAGCAGATTTCTTAATGCCTCTTTGCTAATATGCTGCTTTTTGCTTCTTTAAGCTGTTGATGATTACAAAAAGACATTTTAGCTCAGTTCCAAAAGCTTTCACCAAAAAAAAAGCATTAAGTATCATCTGTGGTTAGCAAAAGAAGCTTGTTTGTTGAAGGATAGAGGAACAATGTGAGCAACATGAAGGCTAAAGGATCAAACATAAATGTCACTTGACAAAACAGGCATTTTTTATAATCGTTATAAATGTTTTTTCATTCTTTCATGCAGAGGTGGACACAATCCAACTAACATGACCGATGGAATATTTCCTCTTCTAATAAGCATTGTGGATCGTCGTTTGTGCAGCACAGAGGTGTTTATCATGTGCGATAGTAAACAATGAAAGCAGAAAAAAAAAGATGTTTAAGAGCTCAATAAAAACAGCCCACTTGGAAACAAATCTATTTTTATATGTTTTTGTTGGTAAAAATCAAAGTATGAAATCAATCAAGCCGTCTGCAGGTGTTCTTTTAGTTGCAGGCAGACTTGTGTCAAAAACTCAACAGAATTTGCACACACAGGTCTGGTGTTCATCCAGATCTCTGGAGGATGACAATCATCTGAAAGAGTGAAATATTCATGAATGGAGATATTATTCTGAAACCTCCTAAACAGGTGGTCTCATCAGAGAAAGTGCAGAGAAAAAATGAAAATATTCAATAATGAAAACAGCAAAAACTGTGGTGAATTATCATCCTTCCATCCATCCATCCATCCATCCATCCATCCATCCATCCATCCATCCACCTATCCATCCACCCACCCATCCATCCATCCATCCATCCATCCATCCATCCATCCATCC